TGAGCCTGCGCTTGATGCAGAGTTGTTGGTGTGCCGTGAACCCTTTTTACTACAGAGAGGTGGGATGCAATAATGTGTTTCTCTCCTTTGAGGAAGCACTGCATTGCCTCAACCTGCACCCAGTGCAGAAGGACGGAAACCCTTTCCGGGGCGACCCCTTCGCAGATGCCTTGCGTGCATACTGGAGCAACCCGCATGCAGGGCTCTCGGTCGCGGCAATGTTCTTGGCCGTTGTCTTCATTTTGAGCACGCGGTCCAAAATATTGCTGCAATTCTTCGTGGCACACCCGGACGCCGACCTCACGGACCTTAGCATTTTGCTGAAGCTATACGACTTCGCTTTGCAGCATGGTCCGCAATTGGGGGATGCTGGAACCTCGATTCCATCCTGCTGCCCTACTGGCGCCAGCCACAGGAACACCCAGTGACCGCCCTCTTCCATTGCCGCAGCATCCGCGACGCACGTCAACTGCTGATGCAGATCCCCCATTTTGGGGAGTTGGCCTTGGCGCACGTTTTTAGTTACATTGCCGCCACGGATAAGGGCTTGCAGCGATTGTCCTGGTCGCAGCAGAAACTTCCGGATGCCCAACTTCCATACGCCCGAGCGTGGCTGGCGCCCACGGCGGGCAGGCCGCGAGCTCACGAAGAGTCCCGGTTGAGGAAGAGGCACGAAACTGGGTGCAGACTATGCAAGCCATAATGCCGAAGACTGTGACCTACCGAAGGCACAGTGATGGCGTGGAGGTCGAGTGGAAGCCGCAGATAACGCGCTCCTTTTGCCAAGCCAATAGCTGCAAGAGCCTCCAAGTCTTGCAAACATTGCTCGGCGGAATGCTGGGAAACCACGGACGCAAGAGCGCCGCGGACATGCTGCCATCGTGGCGCCGCAAACGCTGGAGCCCAAAGCGCAAGCGGTCGCAAGGCTAAGAAGCCGAGCGGGCATCCTGTGGTTCCTTCACTTGCAGACCCCGGCAGTCCCTGCAGTCTCGCGAACCGTTGTATCGGATGCCTTGTGATGCCTTGTTAACCTTCAGTACTGCACCACAGCACAGCAGGCATCAACTTGGTAATGCTTCCTGCTGCGGAACTCCGTCGCCTCTGTGTCGCATTTCTTGCGCATCCGAGGAACACTTGCTTGCTGCATCGCAGCGCCTTGTCCATGTCAAGGTTGCATGTCTCTGCTGTGCGCGTGGCATATTTATGTTTCCCTCATCTCCTGCTGGTCTCGTTGCAGCTCAGGCGGATGGCGTTTGGACAGCATGCCTGAGATACTTCGGGATGTCCTTCAAGTCGTTTCGACTGCGTGAAGTCTTTGCTGCTATATCCTGCGGCCTCTTCGCAGTATATCCGAAGCCCCAACCTGGTCCATGTTGAGGCAGCCATTGATGCCTGAAGCAGGCAATGCGTGATGTCTCCGGATATTGCGAAACTGTTCCATTAGCAAGGAATCGAAATCCAGATTCTGTTTTATATTATTTCGGCCCTTACAACATTAGAGAAACCTGTTCCGTGCCCTCTACAGCCTTCTACAGGAACCAAGCTGAAGAAATATAAGCCAGCTCGCACACCCGAAGAATGTGCAACGACTGTACATGGCTTCCTTGTGGCAAGTAATTGACTTATCCGGAGACAGGATTGCGGTTCTTGTCGTGCAAGTTGTCGCAGTGCATCTCAAGGAACTTTGCGACGTCCGTTGTCCCTAGGATTTTGGCTGGGATTGGCCTTTCCTGTGCTCAAGCAGCGTACTTGGCGCAGCAGTTATCGAAACCAGGATGCCCGCTCTAAAAGAGCGTGCCTTCCTTGTTACGCCCGTGCTTCCTTCTTTGTTTCAGGGGAGGGGCTTCCCCGTTACAGCCTAGACGTTTTCCCCGTTACAGCCCACACGTTCTCCGTTCGGCCTTCCCTGTTACGCCCCTTCCCTTTCCCTGTTTCGCCCCTCACCCTTGCTGCTACTACTTCTTCTACTACTACTACTCCTGCTACTGCTACTACTACTACTACTACTACTACTACTCCTGCTGCTGCTGCTGCACCTGCTCCTGCTGCTACCGCTGCTGCTGCTGCTACTACTACTACCACCACTACTACTACTACTACTACTACTACTATCACGAGTAGCATGCCGCCTCACCACGGCCGCCATCAACAACAATAGCAACAGCAATGGCAACAGCAACAGCAACAGCATCAGCATCAGCAACAGCAACAGCAACAGCAAGAGCAAGAGCAAGAGCAAGAGCAACAGCTAAAGCAACAGCACCAGCACCAGCAACAGCAACGGCGGCAGCAGCAGCAGCAGCAACAACAGCAACAACAGCAACAACAGCAACAAAAGCAACAAAGATGCAACAGCTGTAGCAGCAACAACAGCAACAAAAGCAACAAAGATGCAACAGCTGTAGCAACAACGACAACAGCAACAGCAACAGCAACAGCAACAGCAACAGCAACAGCAACAACAACAACAACATCAAGAAGGTAGGCGTTGCATCTGCCCCTGCGAAGGCGGGGTTATTTTTGTTCGACAATTTTTTGTTAAGAGCCTGAGCACTCGAGTTTTTCTTGGTTTTCATGAATAAGAGGATGGTGTGCCCCTTTGTTGTTTTCCATGTTTTATGTTTTGTTTTCTAGTGATTCTCGTGTGAGTGTTGCGAAAGCGTTGTAAAGACAGTGGGTATCGTTATTTTTTTCCTAGAGTTTTGCGTTTGAAGCTTTTGTTCGGAGAGCCACAAAACCCGATACTGTTGTATTGGGAGCGTCTAAGAAGTAACTTAAAAACAGCAGCAAGAGCGGGCACTTAGCGTCATCACCATGCGGAGGATAAACAACATGAAAAACAACTTCAACTTCGTAATCATCACACTCATCATACTTATCAACTCATCCTGGTCCTGACTATCAGGAGCATCAACATTTTCATGACCGTCATGATTATGATCATCAGCATCAGCATCATCATCATCCTCACCATCTTCGTCGCGGTCGAGGCAATCATGACCACGGAAGCAAAATTTAGAAACACTACATGTAAGCCGCGTTGGCATGGACGATATCACCCCCCTCCCCCCGGCATCCCCCCTCCCTACCCTTGCATGAACCAAAAAAGAAACACTGCATGCAAGCCGCATTTGCATGGACGTCATCAGCCCCGCCCCTTCCCCCCCTTCCCACCCTTGCACGGAAGCAAAAAGAAACACAGACACAGCAAGTCCAAAGAAGAAAGCAGCCGACTTGCAAGTAAAAAACGGAAACGGAGAAGCCACTGATGACTGATGATGACTGTAAATACCCATAGAAGTCCAAGCTGCCATGTGCGAAAAGCCGAGTTGTGGCACAGTGCAGCCCTGAAGTCGAACATGTTTTTTATTCTCAGGAAAACACCGTAAACACCGATACTAAAATTCAGAGCGCAGATTTTTTTGTCCAGACGGCCAGGTGCGAAAACTCGAGTTTCAGCACATTGCAACCCTGAAATCGCTCCACCCTCCGCGACGGCAGATGCAACAGCTGTAGCAACAACAACAGCAACAACAGCTGCAGCAACAGCAACAACAACAACAACAAGAAAGCCACACGGTCGCCCTTACAACAGCATTGCTTTGTAAATCCTTGCTTTTGAACCAACACTAAACAAGAGTCCGGCAACACCATAATTCGCTCTGCAAGCAAACAGTTTTATGTTGAACCATGTTGGAACGTTTCAGATGTTGTTAATTTGCGAATGCGTGATTGGTTCTGTGACACCGCAATGTCAGTGATGAGGGGTCAGTGTACTTTCTCGCTACCTGAGTTTGCAGCACTGTTAAACGAACATCCTGACTTCGTGACTGGCTTGTCAAGGTTCTGCTCGCTGAGTTTTTTCCCAATCTGGGGTGCGCCCGAACCTTTCTCGGCCAGAGCCCAAGAGCCTGGCAAGGTGTTCTCCCCTCGCGGCAGTAGACACCGAAGTGCGTCATTGAGGCCGTAGCAGCAAGCTCTGACTGCTGCGTCGTTTACGTCCGGTACTTGGGAAACTGCCGAGATCCAGCGATCTCCCGAGAGCATGTCATCCTCCGAGGTGCGCGGGGTGCACGAGGCCCCCTGGTCCAATCACTTCTGTGCAGATGGTGCTTGTAGTCGTGCCTGAGGCCAAAAGCATTCCCAGGGTCCTCCTGAAGGAGGCAAGGGAAGGGCGATTTACGTGTAACGATAGGGTACTGCTGATGCCTGAGACGCTTCTCGTGTGCAGTTTGGCTTGAGGGATCCCTGGGAGTGTGGTCCGTTAGCAGGCACGACTACCGCGGTACTAGAGGGCGAAGTCGCAAAGTCAACAAACTACCGGACGTGGCCATGAGAGACAAGTCTTCCGCACGGCGCTGTCTCTTGAGGCGATTCGTACAGATTACAGCGTTCCAAGCCCGGGCGACCTCGACAATCCGGGACCTTCAGGGAACAAACCGTGTAGTGAGACACAAGTGCTCATGTGGCGTATCGGTGGTGCTTTCGGCCATGTCATCCACTTTAAACAGGAGCACACTATAGTTTCATACGCAAGCAACTTGACGCATAATCAGACTTGTTTTTAGTCATTGCTTCACTTTGCTTCGTACAAGAACGATCTGGTGCTCCATAATGTTATGTGCAACAAAGGTCGTTCTGGTGTTCCGAGCCTGTTGAGTTTATTGGACCTAGTATCGCGGTCCGCTCCTTTTGAAAGTTCAAACACGCGTTCGTTGAAACGGCTCCTGGGTTACGTTTGGTAACAAAGCCTTTCTCTCTGCGAACATGAAACTCCTGCGGCAGGTGTTGAGGACGACGGAATGAGGTAGCATTTAAATTGAGGTTCAACAGAGCTTTTGGAAGGATTATTGATTTTAGTCAAGGGAGTTTCTTTCAGGGGAGCGAGTTCCATCCCATACCCCATCATCTTGAGGAAACAGTGTGAGCGTGAGATGGCAGTGCCTGTTGTATGCAATGCCTGATCTCGTGCGCACAACTTCCATGTCTGACTTGCGCAGATGCGCGTGGAACTTGGCCGGGAACTCCAAGCCCGGTTGAGTGCTCTTGTTCGGCGCTTAGTTGTGGTCAGCCAAAGGAGCTTCGGTGCCTGGGTGTGCAGTTGACGTGCATTGAGATCGCAGCAACTGCGACTCCGTCAAAGGAGGCAATGGATTCAGGCGCTGCATCGCAAGCTGATTTGTGTCGATGTCATGGTTCATGCTTCGTCTTTCGTTTCAAGTGAGATAGGGCTAAGGGTCCTTCTGACACCTCATCAAGTCATGACCTGCATCAGTTGGACCACAGGAGCCGAAAGGTGACAGCACGCAGAGAAAAAGTGGCAGCTTGACAGATGCGGCCCAGTGTCCTAAGTGGCTTGACAGAACCCCCATGCCGAATTTCGTTTTGCACGTAAGTTCAAAGTGATTGCGCTCACCGCGATGAGCCTGGTGTCTGTTTTGCCAACAACTTCTTCCAAGCTGTCGGGCAAATCAGATTTGGAATTCCATGATGCTCCTTGTGCCGCTTTTGCCACTTCCAATCTTGCAGTACCTGCATACTTTGCCATACGAGTGATCCAGTGGATTGACCCGAATGCACGGGACATTGTCAAAAGCATTCAGAAAGGACTGTTGTGGCTGCAGTGCCGTCGTGTCGCATTTGCCTCCTTAAGCTACCTGCCCTTCTCCACATAAGATCTCGAAGACCCGCAAGCCGAGGATGTTGAGGGCACACGGCAGCAAAGTTCAGAGTGCGGATGTGGTAGAAATTCCGACTTGCTTCGGTCCGTGGGGCGGCAGTCTCTTCGGATTCACAGACTGCCATTTCGTAGAGAGTCTGTTGCCTACCAGACCTAACAGAAGGCGATGTTCAGACTCAGCAGCCGGTCGAGCCAGAGAAGGAGATGTGTTAGTCTTAGTGCTAGTTTGCGGTGGAGCACGTTCATCAGCGTCCATGAAAATCTTGGAGGACATGCCCGGCGTGCCGCAGGGCGGGGCCTTCATTGCTCGTGTCGGTGCTGTGGGAAAGCGCGCGTGGCCCAGGAGTCGAGTCCGTGCCGGTCCGGGCCCGAGATTCTGAGATAGGAGCTTCGGTGCCTGGGTGTGCAGTTGACGTGCATTGAGATCGCAGCAACTGCGACTTCGTCAAAGAAGGCAATGGATTCAGGCGCTGCCTCACAAGCTGATTCGCGGCATGTCAGCTTACTCACGATTGCTGCGTACATGCTCGCGTACTGCCCCTGCCAAGCTGATTTGTGTCAATGTCATGGTTCATGCTTCGTCTATCGTTTCAAGTGAGATAGGGCTAAGGGTCCTTCTGACACCTCATCAAGTCATGACCTGCATCAGTTGGACCACAGGAGCCGAAAGGTGACAGCACGCAGAGAAAAAGTGGCAGCTTGACAGATGCGGCCCAGTGTCCTAAGTGGCTTGACAGAACCCCCATGCCGAATTTCGTTTTGCGCGTAAGTTCAAAGTGATTGCGCTCACCGCGATGAGCCTGGTGTCTGTTTTGCAAACAACTTCTTCCAAGCTGTCGGGCAAATCAGATTTGGATTTCCATGATGCTGCTTGTGCCGCTTTTGCCACTTCCAATCTTGCAGTACCTGCATACTTTGCCATACGAGTGATCCAGTGGATTGACCCGAATGCACGGGACATTGTCAAAAGCATTCAGAAAGGACTATTGTGGCTGCAGTGCCGTCGTGTCGCATAACAGGCCTAGCAGAAGGCGACGTTCAGACTCAGCTGGTCCGGGCCCGAGATTCTGAGATTCCCCCAAGCTGTGCCCGGAGCTGGCCAAGGCCGGTGCTTCGAGGCAGCTGGAATCCCTGAGCCTCCCCATTCCGCGGCGCCCGAGCTTCCACAGCTCCCACAGCAACCGAAGCCTTCGCAGCAACGCGCGGAGCGCAGACGGCGCAGACTCCCGGAGCAACGTTGCGACGGACCGCAGTCCAGGGCCAGGCAGCTCCGGCCTCTACAGCGGCTTCCAGAGTTTCGAGGAACTCCCGGCTCGAAAGCGGCGGAAGCGACAAAAGCCGGTGTCCTTCATGAGGCCACACAGCCGCGGTGGGGTCTTGGTGGGGTCTTTGGATATATTCCGGCCGCGACCAGGTGGCTCTTTTTCGGCAAGGGAACTGGCAAGGACGGAGCGGATTCACGTCGTTGTATGATGTTGTATGTTCTTCGAGTGTGCCATTCAGTTATGAGTCATGACCCCTTCGGGAAGGAGCAAGGTGCTTCGCTTGGGGGACGGCAAAGCGTAAAGCACTGAGCGTGGCAGGAGGGCTCGAGTCATCGCCCATGCGGGCAATTCATGTGGTGTTGGAACGATGTTGTGTATCGGCCACAAGCACATCTGCATCTGCGCTCCGACCAATCTGCTACGTTACTGACTGAACTTAGAACTTTCCTGCAGCTGAGAGCATTGGCAATCTTGGTTGAGCACAGAGCGCATAGGTAATGATCCTGGAGCCTCACACCCGAAGGGTGCATGACATCTCCAGACCTATAGAACCTCCGTGTCTCAAGCACGGAGCGGCCCCTCGATGCCCGTGTCTGGTCTTCACGTCAAGCGTGGCCGGAAGAAAACCTGATTTTAAGCTTGAACTTCGCTGCGACGCAGATCGTCTGCCACCAGTGCCGACTCCCCTCTCCACCCAGCGCCGTTTACCGGTTCAAGGGGTGCAGACGAGAGCCATGGCCGGTGCAGGTCGGACAAAAGGACTTCACGTGGACGTGGCGACGCAATCCACTCTTTGGGATGAGACCCAAGACTGAGCGCAGAGAAGCCTTCGACCATTTATCCGGAGCTCGAAGTCTCGCAGCTTTCTGGATTGTTTGCGCCCACTATCTGCCGAGGAGTTCCGAAGCATCCTTCAATGGCGCCATCTTCCGCGTGAACGTAGCAGTTTGCTTCTTCGTCGTGGCAAGTGGCTTCGTGACTCACTGGGCCTATGGTTCAAAAGATTTCAAAGCATGGAGCGACTTACTGCGTTTCTATGTACGCCGGCTTGGCAAGGTAGTTGTCACTTTCTGGATTGCATTGGTTTGGGCCGCATATCTGCTGTATCGCGATGGTGCGGATCTTTCCCTTCCCTACCTTCTTCGATGTGCCGTCTTCCTGGAGCAGTGGTTTCAGTGGTGCTGCGCTTATTCCTGCCGCTCCAGCTCAAGATTGGCGCAGGCTGCAGCTGAGGTGCCCCAATGGTCCTTCTTGGTTTGTCTTCGTTCTGCTGCCGTCTTGGATCCTGTGCGCTATGGCTGTTTCCCGAATTAACATGCCGGTATCTGCCACTGCATGCAGGTATCCCATGACCCGAAAACTTCTGTTCACGGCAGAGGAGAAGTACGGAGGCCGTTAGAAGTCAGAGCACGTCAGAAGTCCCGCAACGCATTGGCCGGCCAAGAAACTGTCGGAAAGATCCGTCCTGCATCTGCACCTAAAGGTGCCGGCTTGTTTGCAGTCTTGGTGTGCCTTTGGCTCATCTCCTTCGGCTTCATACCCAGCCTTGTGTCCTTGGCGCGTTTTGGCAGACGTGTTCTACGGCAGTCTCAGGCCCTGCAGTGGTTCTGCTGGTTCTGCACGGACAGATCACCATGCAGCTTGGCTGCCTTGGGGGCTTTCGTGAGAAATATCTCAAGCCTGAAGGCTCGTGCTTGCGTAGCGAACGTTGGGGAAGATTTGCACAACAATGAACTGTCAACAATTGATTCGGTGGATGTACTTACTACTCCCGGCTCATGAAATTCCAGAGATGTTGCCATCACTGCTCGGGACACCAGTTTCTTGGTTCGGCTTGGTTCGGCATGAGTAGAGCTTCTGGCTTCTTGTCACACATTACACTTTACACATTGACCTGAAGCTGCCAGTTGTCCACTGTCCGTGGTCTCCGTGTTGTCGTGCTTCCTCTCGTCTGGCAATTTCAGGGCTTTGTTTAGATGCCCATCGGCAACAAGTCGCATTCAGTCTTCATGAATTATTGACCCAGCAGTTGCACTAGACAGCGAAGTCGGTCGATCTTTCGAGATATCCTGGACTAGTTCTTTTGGAGCATCTTTTGTGTTGCCATAGCTAGATTTCAAGTCGCTAGTGCTGAAGACGCTGTTCACATGTGCAAAGCATTAGCACGCTTCGACAGAAGCAGGCTAGGACATTGCGACTTGCAATGTTCCGTTTGTGAGTTTTCGTCAAACGTTAGAGTGTCGTGTCACATTTCTACGAGCATGAGGTGAACTTGAAGTCGTTCAGAGATTGAGCGAAACACCCTTAAATGTGACGATAATCAGCCAAAGCCTTCGGCTAAGCAGCATCTGCAAGTTGAGACCGAAGCTTTAGCATTGAAGCAACGGTTGGCAAATTCGGCCCAGTACTCAAACAAGTGATGTCTGGACTGCTTCGTGCCGTGTCGACTATGTCTGGATGTTACCATGGCGTTCCCGTTGTTCTCAGCCTCTCTTCTCCACCGTGCCTCGTGATACTGTTTCGTTAGCATCTGGGTCTGATGCTTGCTTGCCTGCTTGCCTGCTTGCCTGCTTGCCTGCTTGCCTGCTTGCCTGCTTGCCTGCTTGCCTGCTTGCCTGCGTGCTTGCTTGCTTGCTTGCTTGCTTGCTTGCTTGCTTGCTATTTATGCCTGCTTGCTTTGCGGGCCATCTAGGCTAAAAGTTTGTGTGGCTGGATGATGTGTGATGCACTAATTACTGCATTGCAACTTTTCTATCGTTTATTCTAAAATCAATGCTCTCCTACCCGACAACTTGAGGATTCGAGGGACAGGTAGCTGCCGTTTTGTCTGGTCTCTTCACAGCTTCGTTGCACCCGGTCCACACGTGCTTACATGTCTCGCACACTCAAGCCAACAGCGCGAGCCTGTGCCTGGTTGGCCCAGGCAGCAGCACTCGGACATGTCATTCTGGTTTTGACCTCAGCAGATGATTTCATTTGGTGTTTCTGCAGATCAGTTCTCTGTGCAAGTAAAAGCCGGACGTGGCGAACTGCGCACCCAAACCACCCGGCGGACAACAGAGAGTCAACGAACTCACGAAGCACACAGGTTCACGGAACCATGAGAGAGGCTCAAAACGAGAGCTGAAAGGTACAGCAAAGATGCCACGGAATGAGAGGTTTCGGCTTCGTACAAGGCTTTGAAGAGAAACTGTCGTCTGAGAGCCCCGGAACCTCTCAAGTTTAGGCCCTTCGCCCTGCTTTCAAGCACCGTGCAGGATATCAGTCCTTTTTTGCGGAGATCTAAGGTCGCAAGTGAGCTAGACACAGATTCATCCGTTCGGCCAGCTTGTGTGGCAACTGCTGGCAGAAGGATTTCTCCCCGAAGGGACTAACGCAAACTATTGAGTGAATGCCGGCCGGGTCTTACTGGAGTGAGTTCGTTCTTCCGGGTCGCACCTCGTACTGAAGCTGGTGCAACTTTTATGTGCAGAAGTAGCTCAGCTTAACATTGAACCTCGGGAAACTTGGGGCATGTCCTGTTTGATTCGCAGGTTCAGACGCACTGTGAGTTTATAGGATCTTGCTTGGAGTCTGACCCGGGATTTCATGGCGTTACCGAAAATTCGTGACTGTGGCTCCTGATCCACCTGACTTGTTTTGAATCTGGAACTTGCTACGCCTCATTGCTTTCTCTCAGAGCCGGCCGGACGACGGCGGGCAGGGGCAAAAGAAACCCTGTAGCCAGAGAAGTTGCTGTTGACCGAGGCCGCCTGCGCAGATGGCTGACTTTGCTATCGGAATGACAGCTGCTGCTCTCCTGCCGGTCATTGAGGGTCTGCACAGAGCTGTGAGCACGACCTCGGAGCCAGGCTGGAGTGCGACGTGCTGGGGCTGAGGGTGACTGGAGACCTTGCAGGCTTGACACACCCGTGCCCAAATCTTTTCATCCAGACACGGCGTGGCTTGTAGGCTGAGCCTACTGGCTGACAGCAGCTTCCTCCTCATCGTGCTGGCAACGCTGCTTTCCGCTGTGCGTTGTGTTGCACCGTTGGGTACTCTCAACATCGTGCAAGCTCCGGCATGGAAGCAGATCGGTTTCCTCACCGCCCGGCAGGTTGTTTTGGTATTGCCGCGACCGCGCTCTACTTACGTCTGGAACCCAGTGCCCGCAAACCATTCCAAGCCTTGCTCTGTGCGGAAAGCTGCCTGCTAGTGCTGTCCGGTCTTTTGGTGAGCAGCCTGCGTTAGGTGCTACATCTAAATGGCTGGGAGCCTCTTCTGGACCATGGCCTGTCACTGCCCATCGCAGGTTCCTGCCCCTAAAAACTCCTCGCAGCGAGCAGAGAACCTGGCAGGATTCCTGCTGAGCTCGTGCGTGCGAGGAGCTGAAGGCCCTGCCCTCGGAGTCTACAGGTCCTAGGTTTGCACCTCCCTTGTGTTGTTCTGAAGGCTGGAGCGCTCGACTGCTCGCAAATCCTGCCCTCAACTCAGCCGCTGAGTTCAGAAGACAGGAAGCGTTGAGGCATCTTGTCGTCAACTTCTGCATCTTCTCCTTGGATTGTTTTCCCACGACGGGACAATCGGAGTCTTGCCGACCCTGCCACTTTGCCTCGCACGAAGCCCTTCATGTGCGCACTTGCTTTGCCGAGCACGTTGCGTGTGAACATTCCACAACTTCACGTCGAACAGAGGCAATTTCTGTGCCTGCGTCTGTGTCAGCATGCCCTAAGTAGGCGATGTGGTAGCACGAGCATGCCAGACTTCTTGATCCCGACCTCTTACGAAAGGATCTGAGTGCCTGACGTCTTTCTCCCATCCCATGTGAGGGCTATCGAATCTCGAAACGTCAGGATCGCTTTGAGCCAAAGGTGCATCCGCAAATCGCGAGTGCCGCAACGGCCTCCCTCATGGCTGCAGGAAATCCCATGGCCAATGCAGGACATAGGAAGGCTACCTTTCAAAGCACTGGCTGAAGAGCCAGCTGCCCCACAAGAAGCAGGCGGCGACACATTGGCTTCGCCTTGCATTCGCGGCCCCAGGATGTGCCAGGAAACTCAACTTAACCTCGCATGACAGGCCATGGTGGCCAAGCGTCACACAAGGCAGTGTTATGCAATGGATGCGAAGAATCTAAGAAGCATGTCTGGAAGGCAGTGTTAGTTGCACAACGCCGAGAGAATCAAAAAGCGCGGGAATCCCCAGGAGACAAGAGGCACGTGCGCTCCAAGTCACCTTAGTGACTTAGTGGCTCCCTGCTCACGTCCAGTACCGGGTCTCGGTGCCTTCGGCCTTCGGGCTCTGCCAGGTTTGCTTCTGTGCCTTGAAAGTTCTACCGCTGCAGTTCTACCGCAGGCATTGGTATCGCTTGGGGAGGTTAGCTTTGAGGCGGCAGCAACATCAAATTCTGCACTGTATCCTCCAGCTGCTTCGATGTGCAGGTGTACATATTCCAGAGGCCTATGCATGACATGGTCAGCCTTTTCCTCCCGACAGACCAGATGGAGGCTTCCCGTGAAGTGTGTGGAACGGGAGGTGTGGGAGGTGGGCATTGAGTTGAGCTCCTGCAGCAGGTGTTTATGGTCTACATGATATCCTTGTGGACTTTCGCTGGCATTTACAGCAGGTACTTTCAGGCTCGGCTGCATTTTATTGTGTAATCTTATGATTGCCGCGCATGCGCATCGTGTTCTGTTCGAGCGAGGCGCCACTGGACAGGTGGTTGCGCTGGTGCTCAAGCGAGGTGGACCGCTGATCTTCCGCGCTGTGATGCCAAGTTTTTTCGGACCTCGGACCTGAGTCAGTTGGAGGTGGGCCAGGGCCGCCAGGGCCGCCAGGGCCGCCAGGGCCGCCAGGGCCAGACTGCCGACCAGGCCCTCGCCTGCCTGCGAGAAAAACGTGCGACAATGCTCTGACAAGCGAAGGAGTACCTCGTGGTGCCGCCGCTGCAAGGGAGCAGCGACTCATAGCGAGCAAAAGACCCGCCGTTGTCACGCAAGTGATGTCAAAGCGTGAACAGATCTGCAAACAACCAGATGCTGTCATATCGAGAAGCGCGCTGCGTGCTCTTGTAGATGCAGCCTATTGCAGCCTTATCTTTAGTTGGACATTCCGACGATGTGGGACGAAGAGTACGAGGCTAGCAGTGGAAGCTTCCTGCAGTATGTCCTGCGCTGAGCTTCAGGGAGAGGACGATGGCTACGACGGCTACGATGAGATGCAGAAGCTTCTCACCGGCCCGGGCCTGATGCCTTGGCTCCGGGCCCTCCTTCAACTCTTCCTGTTTACGGTTCTTGTTCTCCTGGATTCCCGTGGCGTTTTCTTCGGTGTTTTCATTTCATCCGATTTGTCTCTCAACCCGTAATTCAGGTTCCAGTCCGGCTGCATCCTCCACAAGCCGTCCGCCCTTTGAGACGCAGGATCCCGGCCACACGAGACTTCCCATGAATGTATCGTTTCTTTCCCCTTCTGCACGTTCATCAGGAGCAGCTTCTGCCAACCCCGGTGGTCCGAAGACCAGTGAATGCAGCACGGCAGATAAGCAGCGGTAATCGGATGGGAACCGGCGGAGGAGCAGGTAGCAGAGCTTGAGGGTCCAGCCGCGATGAACCGGAGTCTTGGAATCTGAATCCGATCAAGGACCTGGCTGGTGCCAGCATGGCAGCAGGGTCGGACACACCCGAGGCGATAGCGGAAGCTGCTTACAAGACTTGCAAGTCCATTTTGATCAGGCAACACGCGAGCCTCCGGAGAGCTATGACATAAGCGATGAGGAGGAGGAAGACGGAGAGGAGGAGCGTGCGTTGGCCGTTGGAAGCGGGACTGTCCTGCGCGACGGGCTGGAGGAGCTCGAACATGAATCGACTGAACCGATCGCTGCTGAGCAGCCCAAGGCGGGTGTCCGTGCCGACTGCTTGCAGAGCACAGCTCTGATGCTCTGATCGCCAGGGTATGGTCAACAACATGCTTCTGAAAGCCAAGCCGAAGACTTTGGCACGGCCACCGGCACAAGCTGCGCAAAAGGCCACTTGCCCCTGCAGAGCTGGCAAGCTTTGCAGCGCCTACTCCTAGTTTGACAGGTTTCCCGCAGAAAAGCTCTGTTTCACAGTTCTTCTGAGTTCTCGTAACTTGGGACCTTGTGGGACCTTTGTGCGTGCATTCTTTCTTGTCCCTTGCGGTCTTGTCAGGCGCGGCCTCAGGCTTCACATCCCTGGAAGCATCAAGAAGCGAGCCAGCAGGCAGGAGATAAACCGTTCAGACTCGTACGACGGAGACTGTGACTGTGAGCCGTCGCAAGGGCCGCGAGGCGATGAAGCCTTTGAAAGGCGCGCCACCGCAAGGTGTCGCGAAGGTTCACAGCTTACTGCAGCTTGAGCAGCTTAAGAGTCGTGTGATGCATCGAGCAAAGTTGATACAGTTGTCAGGAAGTTGCTGCCGTGGCATGCAAGTCCCAAGGCATGACATCAGCATCTTGGCAGCAAGAGTGCAGATTACCGTTGCAGTAGCAACTCTACAAGCGGAGCTTCATGGCAAAATCTAGACATCGAAATCACCGAAGCAAGAACCCAGCGAACAGGTTCACTCTGTTTTTGGGAAAGAGCATCATTTTTGGCCAGCTTGCGTTTGTGGGCGTGTGTTCTTCTTTTCCTTTGATTTTGCATTGCTTCGTTTGCTCTGTGCTTTTGTTTGCTTTTTCGCTGTCTGCTTGTCCTTGTCAGCTTCTTTTTGCTTGTTTTTGTTTTTGCACGCTGCTCTTGCAATCTGTACTTTATCCATGTTTGTTTTGCTTGCTGCACTTTGCTTTTGCTTTCGTTTCTGCTTGGCTGCCGCACTTTCCTATAGGTCAAAGCTTCGACAGACCGCGTTTACAGTCCTGTCAGCTTGGCAACAAAATCCCTACAACGGAAGGGCACACCGGAGGGCACCGCGTAGCAACTGCCCCCCGGTCCAAGGTCTAAGCCTAAACCTAGGGTGGTAGTAGGGTTTCCGGATGCTTCGGGTTTGGAGGGAAGAGCACCTTCAGGTGGGCTTAAGGTGGGCGACCATCGTTTACCTAGTTTGCCCCTCGTCGTTGTCATCACTGAACCAGTCAAGGCCGTCTATATGGTATCCAGATCCTCTTCTCCTTTGGCGGGGCCTTGTTTTCCATTTTGAGGTTTCAAGTTTCGAGTACTAGTGTTGGCGGCATAAGCAGATAAGAATTGTATGGATGGACGGATGGACGGAAGAATGGAGGGATGGAGAGATGACTGAAGGGAAGCATGAGTCAAGTTGTACAGAGCGACCGGTGTCCTTCAGTTACATGTGTGAACGTGATTCGCTTGCGTGAGCCGGCTGGAGTCAGAGCAAAAGTCAGCCCAGATCTTTAGATTCTGGTAGCGGAGCTTCGGCTCCTGCTCTGCTGCGTGCGGCCATAACCGCGTTCCGGCTGGAGGCTGGACAACCGGGGCAGCCCCGCGTTTTCTTCACGAGCACTACGAGCACCACGAACAAGAGACTTCGGTCACACGGAATTCGGGCTGCGGTCCTTCTGCTTTGCCTAGTATCACCAGATAACAGCGACACCTCTATTCGTCTTTTGGAAGTTCTGGAAGCGACCAGCAGCTCGGACCCAGAGTGCAGCCTCAGCCTTCCCTGCGGCTGTGGCCAGGAGCTTGCAGCACGAGCCCTACCGCACGATCCTCGGCAAGCCCAATTACCTGGAAGCGAGCGAGCGCTACTACACGATCCGGCGACAAGAACCCCTTGCAGGAGCTCTACGGAACGAGCTCTGCCAAGAAGGAGAAGCCATGGCGGCCCCACACGGCTCTTCAGGAAATGGCGGAATTCCCTTGGAGGAGTGGCGCAAGGACGTACCTCCGGGCTGGGGCCCGGGTATAGAAAGCTACCCTTTGAAGCTCTTTTTCAACAAGTTGAAGCTGTGGTACAGATGCACTGAGGTTCCGGATGAGATTGTGGGCCCGCTGGTTGCCGGCCGTTTGGTCGGCAGAGCACAAAGCATCGCACTGGAGTTGCGGTTGATCCGACCGGACGGCACCTATGACATTGGAGACGCAGCTCTGGTCAGATTGTCAGTGGACCAAGTGCTGGACCCCAATGACGGTCATGCCGTCATCCAGCACCACATTCCTTCTGGAGTCCAGGCACTCTGTAATGCTCAAAGAGGCCTCCGTCTCAAGGACTGCAGGAGTTTTCGGCAGAATGGGAACTCCGTTTCGAGGAAGCTAAGGTCAAGGCTGGCTTGGATGTCAACGATGTGGCAAAGACCTACTTGTGGTTGAAGCAGTCAAACCTGCCGCCTCGACATCAAGATGATCTTCGTCTTCAGGTTCAAGGAGATCTTTCGAGGTTTCACGACATCCGCGCCTTGGCCCTCAGGCTTTCTCACCGCGTGGACCGCTCCAGCAATGACAACTTCTACGAGGAGAACCAGTTGGGCGAGAACAACAGCTCAGATTGGAATGAGGAGACCTACTGGACCGACGACCAATGGATGGAGGAGCCCTGGTACTTTGACGAGGACTACTACCAGGACATCGATGAGTACCCCTGGTACGCCGACGAGACCTACTACGATGACTATGAGTACCTGGGAGAATGGAATGGAGATCCAGACCTTGAACCTGGACACCAAGGAGGAGGCGATGATGCCTCCGAAGCAGATGGAGTTTACAGCGCAGGAGGATACCGTGGCGGCAAGAGCAAGGGCAAGAGCAAAGGCCCATTCGGAAGTGGATGCCATATCTGCGGCTCGAAATGGCATCATGCAGCTGATTGCCCGGTGAATAGCAAGGGCAAGAGCTATGGTGGAAAGCCCTTCGGGAAAGGAAAAGGAAAAGGGTTCAAAGGCCGAGGCAAGGGCAAGGGCAGACCGTGCAAGGGCAAAGGAAAATGGACACGGAAGGGATCATTCTCTTCCCCTGACGGGCCTCGCTCCTGGATGCCGTGCTACTACGCAGACCATGCCGACGGCAGCCCGAAAACAACTCGACAACTTCGACATGCACAACAAGGACTCCACCTCGGCGACCCGGTTCCTTCAGCTCCTCGTGCGTCGCAGTCGGCGCAGTACTTCAACATGGCCAAAGATGATGGCGCGAAGGCCACCTACTTCGAGGACCTGCTGCGCTTGGAGAGAGCAGCCACTTCGACAGCCAAGGACCAGAACGCCACGACCGATCAAGAGGATGGCACGACGGCTGGTTCTGGCGAGACAAAGGAATTTCCTTCGAAGCGGCTGTCGTTCTTCTTCAGGAAGGCTGTCGACGGCGAGGAAGTCCGGACCCCAAGGCACGCCACGCACTATGGGCACTCTGATGGCGACGAGGTCTTCCACACCATACAGGGCCGGCGGCGACGGGGTCTGATCATAGACCCAGGAGCAGCAAATGGACTCGTAGGCAGCGAGACGCTTCGAGACCTTCTGCTGCACTTATGAAGTTCTCATCTACAGCCGT